CACTGCACTCCAGTCTGGGTGACAGAGTGAGACTCCAACTCAAAAAAAAAACAAAAAAATTTAAAAATAAATAAATAAAGAGTAGGGACGGTCTGGGGGCGAACTGGGCGACCTCAGGGCAGAGGAGAGAGGATCCAGCTGGCCCTCCCCACAACCCCGCCTGCCAGGGCATGGCAGAAGGGAGGCAGGGCAGCCCGCCCATGGGTGGCCCCGCTCAGCCTCTGGCCCTTCCTGCCCGGCTCATCCCGGGACCCGCCAGCCCCGCCCCTGCCGGCCCTCTCTCCAGGGCTTCCCCTCATTAGGGAGGGGTCTGAGGCAGCCGCGGTCCACTCTCAGCCTCAGTTGCCCTTTCTGACTTGCACAGGGTAGGACTCCATGTTCTCTGAGGATCCTTCCAGTGTGGCCGCCGGAGTGGAAGGACATCCTACACTGTGGGGATGGAACACAGGACCCAGACTGAGGACAAAGACTTTAATCTGGGCCTTTTGTGCCCACGGCTCCAGTTCAGAAAAAGGGACAGGGCCTCCTTCGCGGTGGCTCTGCTTTGTCCTTGTAAGGCCTCTGCTGGACCCGGGCAGCTCGGGGTTGGGGCAGCGAACACCATGCGGGAAGTCTCCAGGTGGTCTGGGGATCAGGGCGCCCTGGTGATGGGGCTGTGGGACTTGGCAAGGCTCTGCAAGTGTCTCACTGCCTTCTTCACTCTGCGGTCATTAGGGTCCGAGCAGATGGCCCTGCCCCGGACGGTTACAAGCCTGCAGGGAGGGAGGAAGTAGGTAGGGGGTGTCAGGGCCGAAGGGCCCCCCAGAACCCCGAGCCAGCCCCAGAAGTTGGTAGGGGGTGTCAGAGCGGAAGGGCCTCCTGGAACCCCAAGACAGCCCTGCCCTGCGCTGACCAGGACCCTGAAGCTCCAAGAGGGCCAGGGACTTGCTTGAGGTCTCACAGGACTGTTGGCGGAGGTCTGGGACATTGGGCTCTGTCCTTAGTGATCGTGACCCTCCTGGGGAGCCAGTGATGCAGCACTCTGTGCTCCTCTCAGAAGGCCCGTCCGTCCCCTCAGGCCACTTAGAGCCTGGGACATTGGGTCATGGAAGGGCTCAGGCCCAGGCCAGGGGAAGTGACTGCGTCATCACTGACTGGCTGTGTGACCCAGCGTGTTTCATTCCTCTTGGGCCTCAGTTTCTTTCTTTTTTTTTTTTGAGTTGGAGTCTCACTCTGTCGCCCAGACTGGAGCGCAGTGGCCGCTCCCGGCCACCACCGCCTCGACCTGCTGGGCTCCGGCGATCCTTCCGCCTCAGCCTTGCAAGTAGCTGGAACTACAGGCACACGCTAGCACGCCCAGCTGATTTTTTGATTTATTGTAGAGATGAGGTCTCGCTGCCCAGGCGGGTCTCGAACCTGCGGGCTCAGGCAATCTACTCACCTCAGCCTCCCAAAGGCACGAGATTACAGGCTGAGCCACCGAGCCCGGCTCTTTTCTTTTTTTTGTTTTTGTTTTTGTTTTTTGAGTTGGAGTCTCACTCGGTCACCCAGACTGGAGTGCAGTGGCCGCTCCCGGCCACCGCAGCCTCGACCTGCTGGGGTCCGGCGATCCTTCCGCCTCAGCCTTCCGAGTAGCTGGAACTACAGGTGCGCGCTATCATGCCCGGCTAATTTTTTTATTTATTGTAGAAATGAGATCTCGCCAAGTTGCCCAGGGGTCTCAAACCCACGGGCTCAGGCAATTCACTCACCTCAGCCTCCCAAGGCATGGAATTACAGGCTGAGCCACTGAGCCCGGCTTAATTTTTTGATTTATTGTAGAGATGAGGTCTCGCCAAGTTGTCCAGGCGGATCTTGAAACCACGGGCTCTGGCAATCCACTCACCTCGGCCTCTCAAAGTGCTGGGATTACAGACTGAGCCACCGAGCTTCAGTTTCATCACAAATCAGTGGGGAGGCTGGGCCTCATGATCTGTGGCTCTTCTGGATCCTCAAGCATGGGGTACAGGGATGGAAGACCTGGCTCTCTCCTTCCCTCCCTCTCCTCAGTGGTTGTCCTGGGAGCTCCAGGGTCCTCCTGTCTCCATGCTCAGCCCCCAGGAGCGCGGGTGAGGTGGGGCACTTACACGACGGCATTCTTGGGACACTCCGCTGAGGTCTGGTACCAGGACACCAGCCTTTTGATGGGAATGGCTCCCTTGAAGTACTCCAGGCAGCACTCCCGGCCCACATTGGTTCCTCGAGCTACGGAAAGAGAACAGGAGCCGGGCTGTCTCTGAGTATTGACCTTGTCAGGGGAGGGGACAGCAGAGGGCATCCGTGGAGGGTCTGGGTGTGTCTTTGCATGTGGTGACTGCCTGTGTGTTGCTGTGCCTGTCTGTGTGTCTGCATGATGAGGGTTCTGCGTGTTTCTGCACGGGGGGTCTGCGGGGTTTGCGTATGCCATTGTGTGTCTCCGTGTTAACATGTGCACGTGGGGGGGGGTCGCTGTGCGTGCTGTGGGGTCCTGTGTGTCTGTGTGTGTGCTTGTCTGTGTGTAGCTTGTGTGTATGTGTGTCTCTGGGTGAGTGCACCTCTGTGTGTAGCCGTGAATGTGTCTGTCTGTGTGTGTCCGTGTGAGTGCACCTCCGTGCGTCTGCATCTAGAACCACACCTCGCTGTTCTTTCCTGACTTCACGTAAAAACCTCGTTTCCACTAGCTCTTGGAACCCACGTGCTTGCTTGTCTTTATGCTGATTCTCCCTTGTACATCAAACCTAATAAGACAGATGCTGGCAAATAATGTTGAGAACTACTCACTTTCCTGCACAATCACAACCACAACCACCACCGTCGCCTCCCACAGGGCACTACAGGCCGGGCTGCACATGGGTCCTCACCTCATCATCTCCATCATCACCCTCTCCCTCTCTCTGATTGCTCCTTTCAATTCCCATCCTTAGTGGGAATAGGTGGAGTATAGATAATACACAAACGTGTGTGGCCGCAGTGGTCTTCATGTCCCCACTTCCTGCCCTCCCCGTGTCCCATCCCCGGGCCACCTATACCCTGCTCCCACCTGCATGGATGTGCTGCAGAGATGCTCCCAGGAGGAGGATGACCAGGGCCAGCGTCTTCAGTGGGGCCATGCTGCCAGAAGCCCAGGAGGGAGTCTGTGCGTGGATCTCTCTACTCAGGGAGACAAGGCTGAGGCTGAGTGTGGTGGTGACCTATTTATTAACCCCTTTAAGGGTGTTGCCCTGCCTCCTGTCACCTTCCCACATCCTTCCCTAGACCAGCACAATTCAAAGAATTGGAGGTGATTCATGAGAAGTCCTGTTTTGGAATGTTTGCGGATTTCCAGAGAATGGGCACTCAACAGGGGACAGAGGTGTCCAGGGGCCAGGACAGTGACATACTTCTCCTTTCAAAGGGGACGTTTCTTGCTTCCTCTATTAGCAGACTTGGAAAGCTCCATCCTCAGTGAAAGGGCAGACCGAGAGTGGGGGAAGCCATTTTTCATCTTGTTCTTAAACCCTGAAACAATGATGAGAAAGTAGAAGCTATGCTTTTGGAGAAATGCACACTTTAGGTATAATTAACTTTACCGACTTTGTCCTTTCAGAAACAGACTTCCTGGGTATCTCATAGTGGCAATCAAGCTTGCCTAAAGGAAAGGGAATTTACAAGCCTTAAGACATCATGCATTGGGCAAGGACTGTAAAAGTCATGAAACTTGTAATTACAAAAGTTATCACTGCTCAGAGGGAGAGCAGGTGGGGATTCGATCTTTCAGTAGAACAGGCACTATCTGCAGGGAAGCCAAGGATTCCCCGAAGCTACCCACTGGGAATGCCTAGGAGATAAGGGGAGGTGCACCTTCCATTAGCTCTAAGGAATGTCATTTGGGAAGGTGCAGGAGAATTAGAATCCTTGTCACGCCCTTCTCTAGGGGCTGTGATAATGTGGGCAGACATGAATGGGTCTCTGTGTCACAGGTTCTCCAAGACATCCACAGGTGGTTGATAAGGAAGTCACGGGCAGTCACGGGCAGTCAGGTGCAGTCATGTGCAACATCTCTAAGGAAAGGATTTAAGCCAAGACTTGGGGGGCGATGGGGCCACACTCACCCAGAGTGTAGGCCCACTCCCTGTCTGTGGGGGTGAACTTTTCTTAAATAAATCTTTTCTTTTCTCACCTCTGTGTGTTGCAATTCTCTGCATTTGCTAGGATCTCTGGATTCCCAGCGCAGCACCTCGGGCTTGCTGGCTCCGGCAGTACTGCGCCTCTCTGCACCTCCCTCTGTCCCCAGGGGAGCGGGGAAACAGACAGGGGTGGACAGCCAGCCAGGCGGGGCCCAGCAGGGCTTTCCAGCAGGCCACCGGGGAGCTTGAAGGGTTGGGAAGGCTGTTCAGGGAGGAGTCAGGCACATGGCAAAGCTCTGCAGGGAGGCCCAACTTCATTCGTTCCTGAGGAAGGCCGAGGCTCAACCAAGGTCCAGAGCAACTTTGGTTGCGTGTCCTTCCCCATGTTTGGGCCCTGACCACAGAAGGCCAGAGCCTGACAGAGCTCTAATCACTATTCCAGGTAGATTGAGAAGCCGCATTCCCCTAAATGGGGTACCTTATCATAGGACGCAGGAAAGAATGGAAGCATCAGTGAGAGACATCCTCTCACCACTAGCAGATGGACACCCGGTCAGGGTCCAGCCTGAGACAGGCCCTGACTGAGCACCCCTTCCGTGAACCCCATGTGGGGCTTCCTGCCCAGTCCCAGGCCACAGCAGACCTGCATGCAGGTCATACCTGGGCTACCACAGAAAGTTGCCAGTGATCCTGCTAGAGCTCCTCTGGGCCAGAGCTCGGGCACCCCTTCAAATAGGAGGAGGGTCCCATGGCTACCTGTAGGTGGGCAGCAGCATGTTGGGGTGGCACCTGGACTTAGATTGTGACCCGGGGGATTGAGGCCTGGCTTCACCTGTCCCTGCATGACCAGGGCCACTCTGAGTGACAGCATGCTCCCTACACAGCATCACATGGCACATTCAGCCTCTCATGGTCCCCCTGTGCTGAGCACTGAATCTTTGCTAAGTTTTTCATTAATAGCAATGGTAACAGCTGCTGTTTGTTGAAACCTGGCCCTCCCAGGAGCTACACACAGAGCTAACCTCACCTGTCCTTGGGAGCACCTATGAGAGGAAACTAGACAGGGGACTGGGCCTCCTGGTGAGGCTGGGGCAGCTGCAGTTCCTGGGGGTGCCTCCTTGCCCATGGAGAAACCCCTCTGTGAGCAGGCTCCTCTGTGTGGTCTCAGGCACCTCACAGACCCTCTCTGGGCCTCCATTCCATCACCTCTACAGGGACAGGTCTCAGGAAGATAGGGTCCCCCTGTGATGACCTTCATACCAGCATTCCTCTGCTTCTCTTGGGGTCACATCAGCCGCCTGAGACCCTAACTCCACCCCCTCCTGAAGTCACAACCCAGGCGGATTCTTTGCCCCCAACTGCTCCTGCTGTCTGGAGGCTTCCCTGTGCAGAGGAGGGAAAGACTGGAGGGTAAGCTTCCTGCCCATGTACATCCTTGGTGCCAATTCCTGGAGTGAGGGGTAGGGGGAGGGGGGCAGTCTCCACCAAAAGCCATTGGAGGAGCACCAAGCAGAACCCCTCAGAGAAGGCCAGGTCTGGGGAAAGGGCGCAGGACACAGAGCCAGGAGCTTGGGAGGGCCTGGGGCCAGGAGAGGTAGGAGAGAGCCCGTCTCTGCTGATGGCCCCTTGTGGGTGGCAGTGCCTCCGTCCTGCACTGCTCCCCACGCTCCCCTCCCAGTGGCTTCTGCCCGTGCTCCCATGGCTACTCCACCTGCCACAGAGCCCACTGAATGCCCTTCTGTGCTGGCCTGCTAGGGACTACTATGTTTGGGGTTTTTTGTTTTTGTTTGAGTCGGGGTCTCACTCTGTTGCCCAGGCTGGAGTGTGGTGGCACAATCATGGCTCACTGCAGCCCCGACCTCCTGGGCTCTGGCAATCCTCCCACCTCAGCCTCCCAACTGCAGGTGTGTGCCCCCATGCCCGGCTAGGGACTACTGTGATTTGATGAAGCAGCTTCAACCCCCACTGCTGGGAAACTCCCCAAGTGGGTTTTGTGTCCTTTTTGTTCTGCTATAGACTCAGAAATTTTCTCCAGAAGGACCCAAATTCCCCTGTTCGTTCTCGGGAACAGTACTTGAGAGCAGCAGCGGAAGGTTCTGGACTAGCTCTGGGATGGTGCAGGCTGCTTGGCTGGGGGG